AGTAGAGGAGACCCCCACAAGGGCCAGGAATGAGGAGTTTCACGGAACATCCACAACACAGAGTCCACGCTCCTAAGGAAATGGGAACGGTGATTTCCAGCAAGAGGGTGCCCTGATGTGCAGAGAGCACAATGTCCACCTCCTGCTCACAGGAAGCAGTAAAGAAAGAAAGAATGTTATACAGGCAGGCTTTTCTCTTCAGCAAAAGGGATCTCACCTGGTTTCTACTGCGAAGGCTGGTGTGGATGTTCTTTATAGCCTGGTGATCATTTGCTGTCTGTAGAGCTAGGCATCCCCTGAATCCCCCACACTCCCAGCATTGTCAGTCAATAGACACAATTTGTTTATTTGTATTTTATGTGCACTGGTGTTTTGCCCACAGGTGTGCTTGTGTGACAGGAATTACAGACAGTTGTAAGCTGCCTTGTGGGTGTTGGGAATTGAACTCAGGTCCTCTGGAAGAGCGGCCAGTGCTCTGAGCCATCTCTCCAGCCCCAGAGCCTATTCTTGCAGAAGAGGTCACAGGTACTTTGCAAAGGAGTTTTGATGTGCCCACGCCTTAAGCTTTGTTGTGATAATTGTCACAAGGAATCTTTCTTCCAAATCTGTGCTGTGCCTAAATAGACCAAAAATAAACTACGAGGAGTCAGAGTCAGTTTGAGCCAGTCTAGGTTCAACCACGCTGAACCAATTTCTTTCCTGACATCCTCGGTCACAGCACAGCTGGCACAGCTGGCTATAGTGTTTGCAGGGATCCCCACACAGAGAGGTAGGTGGGCAGACTCTGTATACTCTGGATCAGCCTCTCTATTTGAAGATCACCTCTGCTCACCTTCCATGGTGACCACTTCCCCAGTCTTCCGTCCACTGCTAAGACCTAGGGATTTGCTTGGTTCATAGCCTCGAAGGACAGCAGGTCACTCCTACAGTGTGAGTGACTGCTCAGGGCCTGTGGATCAGAGGCCTCATTTCCTATGTTTCCTCTTCACTGGACCTGAGTTTGAGTGAACATACACAAAATCAACTCTCTTGATGTTATTCTTTGATTTATTGTTATCCTACTTCCCTATAGCAATGTTAGTATAATCATTCCCATTATTCTTTTGTCGTATCCTTTTAGTTGAAAGTGCCAGAAACACAAGCAAATTTCAACCATTCAATAGCGTTCTCGTCAAAATTCCGATACCATTCTTCTCAGAACTAGAAAAACAATCCTAAACTGTACATGGAGGCACCAAAGGCCATAAAGATAGAAGAGATCTCAAGAGAGAAGAAAACCACTGGAGGGATGGCCACATTTTCTTCAAGTTCTACTGCAAAGCCAAAGCAACAAAACCAGTGTGGCATTGGCACAGAAACACACTCAGTGGAAGCAGACAGAGTGTCCAGGTATAAAATCATGCTTCTGTAGCCACCCGAATTCTGACGAAGTTACTGAAAAGCACACTTGGGAGAAAGTCAACTTCAAAACAAATGGCACCAGCAAAACTGCATATCCACATAGAGAAACTGAAGCCGAGTCCTCTCCCTTGTGCAGAAATAGCCCAAATGGATCAAAGACCTCGCTGTAAGAACTCAACCTGATGGGGACGGGTGAGGAAGGAACACTGCAAGAGGTCGACACAAGCGGGGATTGTCTGAGTGGACTCTCATGAAGTGGGTAGTCAGGTCCTGAACAGCCTCATGCAGTGTTAGCAGACTGGCTGGAGATAGCTCGGTTAGTAAAATGTTTGTCTTGAGAGGATACATATAGCAGCTTCTTTTATTGTTCTATTAATAAATAAAGCTGAGGAGTCAGATATTAAGGTAAAGCATGACAGGTCCACAGAGTGACAGAGAAAAGGTTCAGCTGACCCTACTCTCTACTTTCCCAGATATAAAGCCCAATCTTTCCAAGCCCCTCATTTTCCTCCCCGTGTCTCTCTATCTTCATCTGGGCCCACCAGAAAACTCTCGGGTTTATTCCCGGCCAGCTGAATGTGCACTCTGCTCTCTTGATCAAGGTTTAGTTCCACTGGGAGTTTCAAAGTCACAATACAAACTGATCTCCCACATTTCCAACCCTTCTGTCTAAATAAAAAGGAAAGGTTTTAACTCTAACACAGTAAAATATAGAAAGTAAGATCAATTATCAGATAAGAATTATATTCACAATGTCCAGTCTATTTGTATCTGGAAAATTCAGAGAAAATATTCCATTATCTCTCTTCTCTTGATGAATCCAAAGTTTTGTACCTAATTTATTTCTGTCATAACTAAGGAATCTAATCTCCTTCACTTAGCCTCCTCCCTGACCATGAGCAATAACAACTTGTAACCAACCCCCCAAATCATGACAAACAACCACCGAACGACCCAAACCCACCCACCCCACCTCTTGGGTATCTGGATGTCGTGTTCTTAAAATTACTTCCTGTTGTCTGGGGGTGATGGTATCTTTTAGGGAACTCTTAGAATATTGAGATAAAGATCAAGTCCTGGTAAATGAGCAAAGGGTCAAGGTTATGATGGAGAAACCCACAGAGACAACTGATCTGAGCTAATGGAAGCTCATTGGCTCTGGACTGATAACTGGGGAACCTACATAGAATGGAACTAGATCCTCTGAAAGTGGGTAATAGTTCTATGGCTTGGGCAGTCTGTGGGGCCACTGGCAGTGGGACCAGGATTTATTCCCAGTGTATGACCCGGCTTTGTAGAGCCCATTCCCTATGGAGGGATACCTTGCTCATTCATGGGTCAGGGGAGGAGCTTGATCCTGCCTCAACTTGATATGGCATACTTTGTAGACTTTCCAAGGAAGGACTTACCCTTTCTGAGTATTGGATGGGGGGATGGGGTGGGGGGAAAGGTGGCAGAGAGTGGGAGGAGGGAAGGGAGAGGGAACTATGGTTGGTATATAAAATAAAAAACTTTAAAAAAATTTTTTTAGATTTGAAAAGGAAATAAATTTGTTAAAATAAGTAATTAAAAATAAAGGATGACTGTTGGTCTGATGACTTTGATGTGCTTGTATAGGTTCTAAGATAAGCATGTGTCCATGCTTGCCAGAGAGGATGCACTTGTATACATTATAAGATAAGCATATGTCCAGATTAATATTGAGGTCTTTAATCCATTTGGACTTGAGTTTTGTGCATGGTGAAAGATATGGATCTATTTTCATTCTTCTACAGGTTAACATCCAGTTGTGCCAGCACCATTTGTTGAAGATGCTTTCTTTCTTCCATTGTATACTTTTAGCTCCTTTGTTGAAAATCAGGTGTTCATAGATTTGTGGGTTAATATCCGGGTCTTCTATTTGATTCCACTGGTGATTCTGCACCTGGATGGCTGATACATTGGGTACCAGCATCCTTATAGCTCACCATCCTGGGTGCATCAATAAGACAGGAGTGTTCTGCGCCCAGATGGCTGATACATTAAGTACCAGCATCCTTGCAGCTCACATCCTGGGTGTGTCACTAAAGACAAGAGTGTTCTGCGCCCGGATGGCTGATACATTGAGTACCATCCTGGGTGCGTCACTAAAGACGGGAGTGTTCTGTGCCTGAATGTCTGATACATTGGGTACTGGCATCCTTGCAGATCACATTCTCGGTGTGTCACTAAAGACAGGAGTGTTCTGCGCCCGGATGGCTGATGCATTGGATGTCAACGTCCTTGTGCTCACTGTATGTTCGTGGCATTGCTTGCTGAATAAACAGACATAAATGAACACAGTTCAGAGAGACTCTGTTTAGTTTGATGGAAGACACTCCAATCTCAAGTCTAACTTGACAGTCACTTCTGCCTTTGAAATAACTGATCATAAATAAACCTTCATGGTAAGAAAAGAAAGATCAAGTCTTGGGAAATCAGGCTGTATTACTTGTTGTCTAGTCTCAGTGTGAAGGGAAAATGCGAGGCTCATCTGAAGGCCTGGCTGGAGTAGTCTCTGATGCTGGACTGTTTTAGCTGACTGCCTTGAAATTGCCCTGAGCAGTTTGCAGTCCAAAGCCGATCTTCGAGTAGTGTTTGTCACCTTAGTGGCATTACGACAATCCAGGTGGAATCATTGATGTGGGGCCCCATTACTCTTTTGGAGACTTCAAAGGTCACTGTTAGTGTCATGGTTCACTGCAGAAAATTTAAACATTTTAAATGTCATATGCAGCAGATCTCAGAGAGAATAAAGGACCACAATCTACTAAATACACCTGAGATACACAAGCCTAATTCCTAATTACCTGTTTAGGGTCAAGCCCAAAATCACACATAGAGTCACATTAAGTCTATTTCTAAAATTATGTAGTACTCTATATGACCATTAATATCATGACAGAAAGTTGAAATATGTATGTATCAACCTTATAAATTTTGAGACAATATTTATATCTTAAGAAAAGTTTTAAATTTAAAAGTCAAAATAAAATCAAAGAATTATGAGATTAGTGACAATAGAATAGTCCCTTACTTTGGGTTTTCTTTTGTCCCATACCAGGTGACTCTTCTGACATGAAACAGAGATTTTGGATTTTTCCTTTAGCAAGCATGCTTGAGTTTAGAGAAGGACTGAGGTGAAGAAAACACAAACCGAGGGAAGGCTGGATATGGAAATACTGGGTAAAGGAACAGGAACTACAGAGACACGTATTACCAACAGAATACAAGAGATAGAAGAAAGAATCTCGGACACTGAAGATACTATAGAGGAAATAAACTCACTGATTAAAGAACAAAACAAATCCAACAAATTCTTAACCCAAAACATCCAGGAAATTGGGACACCAAGAAAAGACCAAACCTAAGAATAATAGGAGTAGAAGAAGGAGAAGAATTACAGCTAAAAGGCCCAGAAAATATATTCAACAAAATTATACAAGAAAACTTTCTCAACCTAAAGAAGGATATTCCTATGAAGGTACAAGAAAACCAAATAGACTGGATAAAAAGAAAGCATCCCCACGCAATATAATAATCAAAACAAAAGAATACAGAATAGAGGACTGAGCCACACCCCAACTCTAAAGTCAGCTTTAATTGTTAATTGGACCGGGGCTACAAAAAGACCATTTCCCTTCAATGTCTGTAGGGAACAGCAGAAACAAAGATTTGGGAAAATTTATCTAATTTTTTCCTGCTGAAAATGTGCTATACCCTTAAGCCAATATACGCTTTTCCTCGGGACATTTTCTCTGCATGATTCATCCTTCTTAGTCAGATGTCTTCTTTGTCCAGTGATCTCTAGATTCTTTAGTTGGATGCTTTCATTCTCCTGAAAGATAAAAAACAAAACCCTCTCTAACTCTGGGGAGTTTCCCTCTCTGGCAGGTTAAGTCTGATGAAATGAAAGGCATTGGTTAGTCTTGTAAGTTAATTTAGATGTCTGGCCATGCTGTTTCATGAACTATTGCCTCTCCTAAACAAGAGGGCCCTCCCATTTGAATCTAATCTTTATCAGTCGTGATGGTATCCATAGCTTTTCTTCTCCAGTGGAAACAAAAGTCAAACCTCTTCCCCAGTGTAACACACGTTCTGGTTTCCATTCTGAAGTCAACACATCTTTAAAGTATAGAGGCTGATTTAATTCAGCAGATTTTTCTGTTATCCAACATTTCTCTACAGCTCTAGTTCCTTTCTCATTAGCAATAAAAATCTTTAAAGTTACTAGAGCACTGTGCAATCTATCTCTGGGGGTTTTAATTACCCCTTTCTGTTTATTAAGCATCTCTATTAGAGTTGGATTAGAGCTTTCTATAACTGCCTGCCCTGTGGGATTGTGTGGTATACCTATAGCATGCTTTATAGTATAAGAAGCAAAAAACTATTTCATTTGCCTAGGTATCCACATGATGGCCATAACTTCTAATAAATGTGTGATTATAGAATCAGCCTTTTCAAAACTCAAGCAGTTGCCCATTGAAATCCTGAATATATATCTATGGTATGGTACACATACTTTAATTTTTCAAACTCTGCAAAATGAAGTATATCCATTTGCCAAATTTCATTTCTTTGGATACCTTTAGTTTCACAGAGCAGCACAAGAAATGTTCAACTGACCCTCCTCTCCACCTTCCCAAATCTAAAAGGGCCACAGTTCTTTCCAAGCCCCTCCTTACTTCTCTCTGTGTCTTCTCTATTCTTCATCTGGGTCCATCAGGAAACTCTATGGTTTATTCCAGCCAGCTGAATGTGGCTCCTCTGAACCAAAGTTCAACCCCAATGATAGTTTTGGAGCAACAATACAAACAAATCTCCTGCAACAGATAAGGAGCTGAGCTAGATCCCCAGAGCCCATGAGGTAGGGGAGTGGGAGGAGCCGGAGTTGGCAGCACAGGTTCATAATCCCAGCACTGGCGAGGCAGAGACCAGCCAGACCAGCCTCTGCTTTGTTCCAGGTACTTCTCTCAAGCCGGAGAGGAGCACAGTTGGGGACAGCCTCTCAAAGGCGACGATGGGACGGTCCAGAGTGTCCACTTCTCCAACCAAGACATTGGAGTCCTCTGCCCCAGTGGGAATTTTTTTCATGAAATGAAGGTCCACCTGAAAGTACACAGGAGTCTTTGAGAATTTAGGAGCCATCGGCTTCGCTGGCAATCATTCTCTTCAAGTATCACTCAAGGCTACAGAAGAGTTTCTCACTGTTTTATTTGATCTTTATAAAAACCCTGAATGGAGCGATCATAGATCAGATCAGTCCACTACTTAAAAACAAAGGGGGGAAGTGATTAAGATTCAGGGAAAGAAAGCTGACTACAACTACGGAGTTTAGAATACATGCACGTGTGTGCACGCACACATACACACATTTATCATTTATAGCACATATACACTATATATAATTTAGTGTGTGGGGTGTGGGTGTGGGTGTGAGTGTTGTATGTGTGTGTGTCTACACATGCTGCAGTCCATGTATGGAAGCCAGAGAACACCTTGTGAAAATCAGTTCCTCCACCACTGTGTGGGTTTCAGGGCAGAATTCAGGCAGCAACACCTTTAGCCACTGAGCCACCTCAAGAATCAAAGTTTAAGTCCGAGAACTTTCATCCCACCCCACCATGCTCCGCTGGGAGGAAGCGCCTCGGGAGTTCTGGGTCATGTTATGTCTCCTTGCAAATACTGACTGCTCCATCAGATGCAGCAGCCACAGCCCTCCATCACGAGCTTTAGGAGGCAGCGGCAAATACTGCAGTGACAACAGTGAGAGGGACTGCACGGCATCAGGTGCCAGAGGGTCACTAATGCACCGGGAGCAGGGTCAGTGGAGCCTCAGCAGTAGTCCGCCTTCGCTGTGCTGAGTCGGCCGGCTGAGTGTGCAGAGGGAGACAACAAGGAAGATGGCGTCCCTTTCCACAGAAGCAGTGCTGCTCTTGGGGAAGGCTCATGAGCCGTCGGAGCTTACCAGACCCCAGAAAGATTCCAGAAGACCCTGGGCTCCACTACAGATAACCTTCGGTCTAGAAGTCAACCTGCCATGTCTCCTCACCTTGCTTAGATCCACAGGACTGTGCTCGCAATTCACTCCATTTTTCACCTCGAGACTTGTAGTTGGAGCAGACTGAGGAGAAACAGTCTGACCTATTTGGAGACAGTCAAACAGAATCTGCCAATGGCTTGCCCTTCCTTCCCCTCAGATCCAGCCATCCATCACAGCCAGCTGTGACCTCTACAGGCTGGGAGGACTATGAAGCAGGGTCCATCACGTCTGTCCCAGCACTCAGTGCTAAGAAGGCAGAGGTCTAGTCCTCCATTACCTTCCTATCTTCCTTTCTCTCTGCAGAGAGCCATCCTGACCCTCAGTGCGCGAGCACCTCTGCAGAGAGCTTAGCAAACAGCTTGCCAGCAAAGGAGGAGAAGCTGCAGGTGAGGCCTTGCCCAGCCATGGCAAGAGAAGCGGTTAACAGCTGGGCCCACCCACGCCTGTACACAGGCTCTGGACCTAAGCTAACACACAGAAATCCCACAACAAATGGAAGAAAGGTCCCGCCATTGTCTTTATTAAGTGCCATGTGAAGATTGTCCAGGGCCATACACTCTCCAGGGGGAGGAGCCAAAGCACAAGCCTGGAGGCCTGGCTAGACCACGGTAGTTTGTGTCTAAGCAGACTTTTGTTTAACTGGACAAGGCTGCAGCTCACCTTCTCTGGCCCAGCTCCTCATCGATGTGACCATTCTCCCCAGAGCTACACCTTCTCTGGGAGCACGCGGGGATACATCCCTCACCTCGCAGTCCCCCCTGGGATGCTATCCAAGGGCACAGGGAGAAGGGAGCATCCTAGTTACCCAGCTCACTACCCATCAAAGAGTCCAGGGGTCTAAGTGTCACAGCCTCTCCCTCCAGTAATTTCGCATCACCAACTGGTCCCCAAATGTGTTTTCAACAGAGAGGAAAAAAGAGAGACCCCCCCCCCCCCCAAGTCCTTACCATCTTTGTCCATGGAATGTGGGTCCGATTGCTTCTTGCCAACCTCAGCAAAGGAGCGGACAATGGGGATGAGGTTGTTCCTCCGCCTCTCATTCTGATGGTGGTGTTTCTTGAGAAGGGCTTCCCGCACTTTAACCCTCATACTGTCATTCAGGTCACTGAACAGTTCTTGCTGGTCCAGTATCAGGTCTAGGAAAGAGACATTCACAGCAACACTCAGACGGAGAGTTCAGGAACCTAAGGGGAAGGGTATGAGGTGGCAGGGGAAGGGGCAAAAGGCAGAGACGAGCTGCTCTCCTAGGGTCACCAAGGTGGTTTCAGCTTCCTGTCTGAAGGAGCATTTGGGTTTTGTAGCTATGGAACACCGTCCTTTGCTTATTTAACAACGAGACAACAATGTGAACACATGGTTTAGGGACAGAGTGTCACTATGCTACATAGGCTGCCATGAATTCCCGGGTTAATGTGACCTTTCTGCAAGAGTGGGGCTTACCGGAGCTGGAGAGATGGCCCCATGGATAAGAACACTGACTGCTCTTACAAAGAACCTGGGTTCTATTCCGAGTACCCCCATGGTGGTCATAACCATCTGTAATTCCAGTTCTAGGAGACCCAACACCCTCTTATAGCCCCCAAGGGCACCAGGCATGCGGTGTACATGCACACATGATATCAAATGACTAATCCATATAAAATAAATCTAATTAATTAAAAAAATTTTAAGGTAGGACTTAATCACGGTGACTATACCATTATACTTAGCTCCAACCATTGCTTAGGGAATGAAGTCTCTGAGTATTTAATGCATGCCCAGAACTGTACCATGGGGTTTTCATCTGTCCAGTCCTCACTGAAACTCAAAAAGTGGGCATTTTGATGAAAATTCTTTTTTAATTCTATTTTAAAATGGATTTTTTATCTTTATTTATGTGTGTGTATATGCCCCATATGTGTGCAGGTACCCAGGAAGACTGGAAGAGAATCATCAGCTCCCCTGTAGCTGGAGTTACAAGTGGCCATGAGCCACACAATGTGGTCCTGGGAACCAAACTTGAGTCCTCTGCAGGAGGAGCAAATGCTCTTAACTTCTCAGCCAGAGTTCTTCCAAACAAAGAAACCAAGGGACGGTTCTTACAAAAGTCCCCAAGCTCTTACATCTGCGAAGCCGAAGAGCCAGGGTTCGTGTCCAGCTCTGGCTGACTAAGAGCCCACGATTACTGTCTTAACTCTACTGTCCTTCCTCCATGAGCCCTGCATTGTTGTAACTGTCAGGGATGCTGCAACCTTGAACTCCAGTGGATTCTTGAAAGTGCAGCCTATAATCAACCCAATTATAAAATGGGGCACTGAGCTGAACAGAGAATTCTCAACAGAAGAAGTTCAAATGGCCAAAAGACACTTAAGGTCATGCTCAACTTCCTTAGCGATCAGGGAAACGCAAATCAAGACAACTTTAAGATACCATCTTACACCTGTCAGAATGGCTAAAATCAAAAACACCAATGATAGCCTTTGCTGGAGAGGTTGTGGAGAAAGGGGTACACTCATCCATTGCTGGTGGGAATGCAAACTTGTGCAATCACTTTGGAAAGCAGTGTGGCGGTTTCTCAGGAAATTCGGGATCAACCTACCCCTGGACCCAGCAATACCACTCTTGGGAATATACCCAAGAGAGGCCCTATCATACAACAAAAGTATATGCTCAACTATGTTCATAGCAGCATTGTTTGTAATAGCCAGAACCTGGAAACAACCTAGATGCCCTTCAATGGAAGAATGGATGAAGAAAGTATGGAATATATACATATTAGAGTACTACTCAGCAGTAAAAAACAAGGACTTCTTGAATTTTGCATACAAATGGATGGAAATAGAAAACACTATCCTGAGTGAGGTAAGCCGGACCCAAAAAGAGGAACATGGGATGTACTCACTCATAATGGTTTCTAGCCATAAATAAAGGACATTGAGCCTATAATTCGCAATCCTAGAGAAGCTAAATAAGAAGGTGAATCCAAAGACAAACATATAGGCATCCTCCTGAATATTAACCTTCATCAGGCAATGAAAGGAGACAGAGACAGAGACCCACATTGGAGTACCGGACTGAAATCTCAAGGTCCAAATAAGGAGCAGAAGGAGAGAGAGCACGAGCAAGGAACTCTGGACCACAAGGGGTGCACCCACACTGAGACAATGGGGATTTTCTATCGGGAACCCACTAAGGCCAGCTGGCCTGGGTTTGAAAAAGCATGGGATAAAACCGGACTTGCTGAACATAGCGGACAATGAGGACTACTGAGAACTCAAGAACAATGGCAATGGGTTTTTGATCCTACTGCACGTACTGGCTTTGGGGGAGCCTAGGCAGTTTGGATGCTCACCTTACTAGACCTGGATTGAGGTGGGTGGTCCTTGGACTTCCCACAGGTCAGGGAACCCTGATTGTTCTTTGAGTTGATGAGGGAGGGGGACTTGATCGGGGGAGGGGGAGGGAAATGGGAGGCGGTGGCGGGGAGGAGGCAGAAATCTTTAATAAATAAATAAATTTAAAAAAAGTATATATAAAAAAAAGAAAGCGCAGCCTAAAGAAAGGTTAAATTGGGGATGGAGAGATGGTTCCGTGGTTTAGAGCATGGGCGGCTCTTCCAGAAGACATACATGCAGACAAAATACGAATATAAAATGAAATAATAAAGTTTAAAAATGTATTATTTAAATTAGTTAACTGCTCACTGAAGCCAATCACCAGCATTCAAACTATCAAGGTTTGCGGAAGGTCTTACTTGGTTCTGTCATCAGGGCTCTAGATAAATGTCCAGAGCTTCAGGCCCTACACTCTATCCCTAGTTCCATTATTCCTGACCCATCTGACCTTGGAATTACATGACCACTCTCTTCTCAGTCTCCCCTATACAGAGAGGACAGCGCCGATGTCTCCCCATGCTGATGGCCGCCACATTGAGCTGTGAGCAGCTGGTCCTCCTACCTGTTCTATGTGCCGGGACCAGAGGGGTGAGCAATCAAGGCGGGAGTCCTGCATATTTAGCCTTTATAATGATTATTTCTTCTCTCATATACACTCATGCTTCAAAATCTTGCACTTTGAAAGAAGAAAATTCCACGAGGGCCCTTTTCTAGCTATTGTTTTTAGCTTTTCTCTTCCCACTTAAAATTCTCAAAAGCAAACAATCCTACTTTAAGAATCACCTGCCGCTCCCTGCCAAGCGCCAAAGTGTCACGAAAATCCGTGTCTGCTCTGGGCCTTTAAGAACACAGCTCTGCCAAGAACTCATTTCAGATTTCCGGCTTCCGAACTGATTGTTTGATTGGTTTTGAGACGAGATCTTGCCACAAGCCCAGAGTGGTCTTGAACTTGATCTACCTGCCTTACCCTCTGAGTGCTGGCATTCCAGGTGTTACCACCACACATGTGGACTTGGGTTGCAGCAGTCCTGGTGGCTAACACAGGCTTGGCAGCTGGCACTGGCTGTCCCCTCACCATCTGCACTCCTGAGCTCAGTCTCCACGGGAGACTCGCTTCTATCAGCCTGCTTATGTCCCCGCAGTCATCCTCAGACAGGTGGTGTCCCCACCCCCATTTTTATCCTCAATGATCTCAACTGCAAGGAGACTGTAAGCACCAAATGCCATGGACCGGTGTGACCTATCTCAAGTCACATCAAAGATCCGATCATGAGCAGACATCATCTGGATGTACCCACACCCTAAAACTTAGCAAGTACAAAATAAAACTCATCCTCTTTCCAGCCACCAGATCTGCGGATTTTCTAGTCATCCAGCCACAAACTAGAATCCTGAACATTCTTCCCTTCCTGCCCCAAACCAGTCCATCAAGTGATTCCCACCACTCTACCTCCTGAGCTGCTCTAGCAATCAGCCCTTGCTGTAGGGTCCACTGAGGGGACACTGGCCCACTGGAGCAGGTGGCTCTGCCAGGTCTTACCCTTCTCCCCCAGCCCCTCTGCCTTGCTTAAAAACCTTTGGGTTGCATTCCTAAAGCTGCCACCAAGGTTTCTTCCCTTGTTTTCCACCTCCTCCTCCTGAGGCTGACTCGAGTCCAGCTATCAGAAGCCCCCTTTGACTCACCTAATTAACATGCCCAATTAAAATTAAACACCTCACCCTAATACAGATTTCTCCTACTTTACCGTTATGTGCCTATGTGCCACATCTGTCTCCTCCTATCTGGAGGCGGTCCTTTGTCCCTCTGGGACAAATATTCCTGCCCCCCTTCCCTCATCAGCTTCCCCATCCTCCCTCAGCTCTACCTCTGTCATCACCGCATCCTAGCCCACTTAAGAGGACCCCCTTCCCTCATCTGCTTCCCCTTCCCCACTCAGCCCTACCTCTGTCACCACTGCATCCTAGCCCACTGTAACATGGACCCCCTTCCCTTCTCCTAAAATTCCACCTGCAAGGTCATCTGCTGCTTCTTTTTCTGCCTGAGTCAGACAGCAGCCACTTAAACTTTTCTTCCCCACTTATAAAAGATCGCCTTAGAAACAGGTGCTTGGATGTGGTTTGTACCAAATCTGGGGTCCAGGAAGGAGCAGCCCTGAGAAGGGGGTGGCGGAGGGAAGGTCTCCTTCCTCTGCAGTGGAGCACCATCTCATCTGGTCAGATCCAACAACCTGGTTCACGCTCCCTTTAGCTCACCCTCCGTCTTTCTTACAGCTAATTTGATCAAGTACTACCCCCAAGACTTCAGCAAGGTCTCCTCATTCTTGATGATTATAATATCACTAACTCTCCGGGGCTCCTCCACTGAAAACAGGGAACAAACTTTCTGGGGTACTTCACGGGCATTTAGACACATAGTCAGAAGTTGATGAAATACAGATGCGACCCACTTGGACTACAGTCTATGAGTTGAGTCGTGTGAGGGAAGATAAAAGTGCTCTGGGAAAACTCCCAGAAACCATGAGTGTTGGGACCTCAGTTTCTTAAAAAACACCTCACTGTTCTGGGATGTGCTTTTGTGCCCCTTCCAGGTGTATTGATTGGACAGGAGTAAGTTTATTCTTTACGACTGGCTACTGTTTGTATGAGGTGTATTGATTGGACAGGAGTAAGTTTATTCTTTATGACTGGCTACTGTTTGTATGAGGTGTATTGATTGGACAGGAGTAAGTTTATTCTTTACGACTGGCTACTGTTTGTATGAGGTGTATTGATTGGACAGGAGTAAGTTTATTCTTTATGACTGGCTACTGTTTGTATGAGGTGTATTGATTGGACAGGGTGAGTCCACTCTTTCTGATTGGCTACTGTTTTTATAAGCCTCCACAGAGAACATGTTTTTGTCAATTGCTAAGGGCAGCTTGCCCACTACCTGAGACTTGCCTGTGGTGCTGTCTTCAGGGTATAAACTGTACTTTGGGGCTCCATTCTCGCAGGTTCCACTATCTCTAGAGCAGTGAACGTGACTCTAACCCTGAACTCACTTTTTTTTTTTAATTCTACTTCCCCCACAGTTGGGAGTACAACTGGGGCACCGCCTTCAGAAAGAGTTCGCACAGGAGTCCATCAGTACTGACCTCCATCCCCCGGGGTCCCAAAAGTCCTTAAAGAGGCATGATTATTTAGACACTTGGAATGGAGAAATCTTTAACCTGTCTAGTAGAATGGAGTCAATCTGAGGGGAAGTGTTCCATATGCCATCTGGTAGTCTCCAAAGCTGCGCCCCAAACACAGTATCTTAAAGTCTGTTCACATCAGAAAACCCCACCAGACGGGTCTATCCTGCATGCCACGCTGAAACATGGGAATGCTACGGCTCACGTTCCTGCATATCTGTTCTAGATGACATATTTTATACTGCTAAATCTTTTTTTTTTTTTTTTTGGTTTTTCGAGACAGGATTTCTCTGTGGTTTTGGAGCCTGTCCTGGAACTAGCTCTTGTAGACCAGGCTGGTCTCGAACTCACAGAGATCCACCTGCCTCTGCCTCCCAAGTGCTGGGATTAAAGGCATGCGCCACCACCGCCCGGCTATACTGCTAAATCTTTAATTTAATTTTCTTCTTGGAGTTTTTATGACTGTCACAATTATTAGTGTGCACGTGTGTGTGATGAAGGCGTGCGCCATCGGGTCTTCGTGGAGGACAGAGGACAACTTTCGTAAGTCACTTCTTCCGTTATGAGTTTCTGGGTGGGACTCAAGTTGCCCAGCAAATATGTTTACTAACTGAGCCACCTGAGCAGCCCTTTCATTTTCTTTCTTTCTGACTTCCTTGTTCTGTCTGTTTTGCTTAAGATAAAGTACCACTGTATAGTGCAGGCCTTGAACCCGTCTTTCCCCTGCTTCAGCCCTGCCAACTTCCAGAATTACCGGTGTGCACCAGAACACCTGCCTCTTATACTTTCTACTTATACAAAATGTCTCGGCCCTTTGTTAGCCTTACCTGAAATTTCTTCTATGCTGCTTGCACGCATGTCCAGGAGGACAGAGCCATTGATGAGGCAGCTCCTCAGCTCAAACAGACTGTGCAGAGAGAGGGTAGCCACATAAGGCTTGCTCCAGCGCTCTCCCCCATCTTCAACATCCTCTTCAAACTTCAGCCACCTGCAAACACGGCCAATAATGAGATGCCACAGACAGAAGATGTTTTTTTTTTCCAAGAGAACAAAATATCTAAAAGGTCATAGAGAACAGCTGACCCAGACACACACACAAAAAAAAACTGGAAAAGCAAGTTGTGGCACAGTGCAAATCTTTTTTGTTTTATTTTTTGAGACCGGGTTTCTCTGTGTAACAGCCCTTGCTGTCCTGGAACTCACGTTGTAGACCAGGCTGGCCTTGAACTCCTTTGCCTCTGTCTCCTGAGTGCTGGGACTAAAGGTGAGGATCACCAATGCTCAACCTTAATCCCACTTTTATTTAAAGACAAATCTAAAATTATAAACACATATATGTATAAGACCCTAAATATATGCTTTGTTTTCTCCTTGGGACAGTAGGATTGAAGGTAACTGTCATTTTCTTCCTTTTGCTTACCTTCACTTATTTTATTGTCTATAGGAATTTAAAAATTTAATCTTTATCATTTGGACATATTGACAAACCATATTAATAAAAAATGACATTTTTATCTGTGCTCTGTATGACTTCAGAAATCCACAAAGACAGAAACACGGAAGACTAACAGCCTTGTCACATGGCATCAGGCCAGCTGGCCTGTTTAGCTCTCTCGGACCCTGGGAAACAGCCACAGTAGGGCATGCATCAACGCTAGCTACATCAGTGTGAGCAGGAGCCAGGCCTCCTAGCTACCACTTCAGCCATGAAGAGTCAGGGCAAGCAGGCCTGCCACCTGCTGAGAGGTGTGCACCTGCCTGTCCTGAGCTCCTGACCCGGCTCCTTCAGGGCCTCACCTGGCCGTCTCCTTCCACTCGGCATCCTCTCCCTCTCTCAGACAGATCTCATCCAGCTCTGTGAACAGCTCATGAGGCACATGCTCCTCGTCGTCCTCAGTGCCCAGAATGAACTGAACACGCTGAGAAGGGGTGTCTAGAAAACCAACAGAGAAAGGTCTGGATGTGTATCTAGCTCCAAGTCAGAATGAAAATAGCATTCTGCCTTACAGCTAAGGGAATATATAGATGTCCTGAATACAGATTTAAAAGTTCTTTTGTTCTTTGGGAAAAGGCTAAGGGTAAACATTTAAACCAGAGAGCAGAACTATAAACTAAGACCACTTGCAGAAGTCCCATGAGAACCTAGAAATCAGTTCAGTTCCCAGCACCCACACGTAGTTCACAACTGTCTAACTCCAGTCCCAGGGATATATCCCCTCTTCTAGCCACCAAAGGCACCAGGCAAGCATGTGGCACATAAACATACATGCAGGCAAAACACCCAAACACATAAAAATAGATTTTTTTAGTTTTCTAGAGAGCTGACGAATTTTAAATAGCAAAGGATTACTTATAGTGTTGACTGAGGTGTTGAAATGTCAATTTCAGGAAGACATTTTTAGTTCTTAGAAACATTCCTTCTTCCTGGGAACCCTAGCCAAGGGCTAGAAAATCAAGACGACCTGCCTATGCCTCCTGCATTCCCATGAATCACCATACCACCCAATCATAGACACTGGTCCTCTCTCCCCAGGGTGTTACCTCCCCTCTCCCCAGAGCGCTACCCCTCTATCCCCAAGGTATTACCATGGGCCAAAGCTTCCAGGACCTCTTCACCCTGGCTGGTTCCTTTGCCCCGCGCTCCTCGTCTCCGGTGCTTCTGGCCATGAGTGCGGTGGTGCCGATGGCCCTGCCTGCCCAGTGGCATCCGAACCCCCACATACAGAGTTCTATGACCTGGATGAAAGCAGAAGACCTATGGTGAGAATGCCGTTCCCAAAAGGAGTCTAGCGTAATCGAGAGCTAAGAACCACAGGGTTTTTGTGCCAGGCCCTTCTGGAATGATTAAACATCGCAGACTCCACTAATAAAGACAGCAATCACAGAGTTGGCAGTGTCTTTCTCTGTCTTGCATGTGGCTATAAACCTCACGAGGATGTGTGGCAATCTAATGAAGAACAAGTGAGACTGAAGGACATGTGAAGGGCACAGCAGGTCACATATTAGAGCACGGGAATGCAGCTGGACGCCTTGGTGTGTGCAAGGCTCTGAGAGGGAGTGGGGAGGAGGGAGGATTGGAAGAGGGAGGGAGAATAGGAAGGGAAGGAGGGGATATGACTTACAAACTATGGATATATGTTACTTTTTGCTATTACAAGAACAATGGGGTGATTTTAAGAGACAATTCCTGTATGGGGACTTTGGCCGGTTTTGGCAGGAAGTGGTTAAGCATGGTCAAGGCCCCAGTCAGCCCAGCTGGGCTTAAAGCTCCCTTTCAGCACTGGATGTCTGAGGATGAACAAGCCTCTCTTGACTCAGCTACTAAAAGAACGCTGGCACTCTTTCTTTTTAACTCACGGGGTTATCAAGAGCAGCAAAGAAGATTAGGACAGAAACTGCTCAAGGCCATGCCCAGCACCGCAGGCCATACCACCTAGACTGCTGCAGACGGACCTTCTACCTCAGAGGGGGCGTGGTTGGGTTTAGAGACACTAAAGACGGGCACAGAGTGGAGGACACGGAAGTAAGTGACCCGACAGCCGTCCTTTCTCGCCCCTCCTCCTGCTCCCACTCCTCCCATACACCCCCTTTGGTTTCCATCCTCCACCTGACTTCCTGCCAAGCCTGGAGCCCAGAATCAAAAGCTTCAGGGCTGTTCCAAAGCCTTATACTCGCAACACTGCTGTGCCCACACTGTTCCCATGGCTCCTGGCATCTTTAGCTGGTGTCTTTGAATCCTACCTACACCCATTCCTTCCCTTTGACTCCTTGTTTCTTGCTTTACTGAGAAGACGCGGGGCATCTCATGGAAACGCTGTCCATCACTGTCTGGCTCCTCTGCCCGGCTCGGGAGTTCTCCATCCCATGCCTCCCACTCCCCTGTCCCTCTGCTGGGATGGCTACCCTCACTCTCTCCTCAATCCAGTCCTTCCATGGCTGACCTTTGAAGACTCCCACTGGCTGTTCCCCGTGTTTCCCCCTCTCCTTCCTTTCCCACCAAGAATCATGACTGGCCTCACTCCCCCCGCCAAGTTCCTGCCCCATGGCCTCTGACTGTGGCTTCTGTCCCTGCCCTCTAGTAAAGCTGTATGCAGTAAGGACATCAGATGGCACTTAGTCACCAAAGCTCTGTCTAGCACATCTCCCAGTTCCACAGACTCCACGGCGAGCCCGGCATGTATCCGGGAACTCCAGATGCCCGTCTTCTTTGGTGTTCTGGGTTCCTTGCACTCTCGTGCCGCTGCCGCCGGACACCTTCAGATGTCTCATAACCCAAAACAAGGGTGACTCTTGACCCTTGCTCTCTCCTCTTTTTCAGTGGGACCCAGTCTTTGAATTTCAAGTTCACTTCTACACGCGACTCTCCTAGCCCCTGGTTTTAAGTCATGATAAGGGTGGAGAGCCACGGTCCTCTATGGGTGCTGGAAGCTGTGACCCAAACTCTGACCACCAACCAACAGAGAGCAAGCACAGTTTTCATCTGCTTAGACCTCAGACCATGCCCTCATTGGTTGATACCCAAAAGGCTATTGGCTGAATGAATTCCCACAACAGGTCCCATAGATCAGGAACATCAAGCCATTCACGTCTCCTGCTCTGACGAAGCAGGGTCTCTTCCCTGCCCTCCACACTAACTGAACGTTACAGAGTTGTTCTCCTGGTTACAGTCATATGGTCCATCTTGTGTGTGCAGGACCCCTGTTCTCAGTTCTCAGTGTCCATCCTGTGTGTCCAGTGTCCCTGTGCTCGATCTCAGTGTCCATCCTGTGTGTCCAGTGTCCCTGTGGTCAGTTCTCAGTGGCCATATTGTGTGTCCAGTATCCCTGTGCTCAGTTCTCAGTATCCATCCTGTGTGTCCAGGACAACTGTGCTCAGTTCTCCTCACTTCTTTGGATTTTCTTTCCTTTAGGTCAAGTTTACATATTTAACATGGAAATAAACGACCCTAAAAAACCAGGTTATCAGCTCAAGAGAGCAAAACGGGTAGCCCTACCTCTGGCACAGAACGAACATTCTGGAGAAGAATACACGTGCACACCTTTGTAGCTTCGCCAGCACCCAGTGGTTGGTCTCAGCGCCCTCCGCCTTCCATAACTGCTGTATCCACAGTGGTTCACACTCTCTACCTGAGCCAGGCTGCTCTTCCTCAAGTGTGCTGGCACTGTCTGCACATGCACTCACCAAATTCTCGGCAAACTCTGCCTCCTTGGCATTGTTTCTAATCTCCCCGGTGAGATGTGTGGTCTCCTTCCTCCAAGCCACCCAGAGCCCCAGCTGAAGCTTTTCTCGCGCCTTTTTTTCTGTCTTGCATTACAGATGAGCAGCTGCTTACTCCCAACTGTGATATGTGAACTCCAAGTCCCTGCTGAGATCTACTCCAGCACTGGTGTGGAACCACGCTCATTCGATAGTGAATGTCACAGTGAGTCTACTGGGGCCATGCGGGTGCAAATAATTTAGTAAAACTTGTAAGAAAGATGTTGCTGTTTTTAAAAATAAGAATGCACACACACAGACACAAACACACACAGACACAAACACACAGACACACACACAGACACAAACACACACAGAAACAGACACACACACGCGCACACACACACAAACACACACACGCGCACACACACACACAAACACACACACAGGCACACACACACAAACACACACATAAACACACAAACACACACACACACGCACACACACACACACACACACACACACACATGTGCACTGAGAACAGCCATAAATGAGAGACACGGGGTCTTTGGGACAGAAGAGAAAGCATGGGTTGGAGCCACCACAGAGATGGGGCTGCAGACCACACTGCAGCTGGTGCGGTTGGCCGAGCACCCACCAGGGAGCCCTAAGGGAGACTCTGCTCCTTTGGGCTCCCAAGATGACTCTAAGTGGATAACCACAGGAAGTCCTACATGTGGAACACAGGCAAGCCTCCTTAAAACTACAAATACAACCAAGTGGGACTAGCTTTTGTTAAAGTGCATTAAGCTGACATCAGGAGTCATAAATCTAGCACTTAATCAGGAGCAATGTCATTTTCCAGCACGGCGTCCCCCAGCAATGTGACATCCTGCAGTTTTCTTTCCCAGCAGAGGGGAGCATGACATCATCTGGAGATGTTGCTCAGCTGACCTCGATGGATGAGACCTGGCCCTCAAGATCCAAGAGAACTTGTCTGGGTTTACTATTCTATTCCCTCACAAAAACATTCAAACATGTCCACTTCCCAGTGGAGGATTAAAGTGCACAGGTAATTGCTAGAGGACAATGGAGCTGCTCACAATACCCTGCGAGGCGTTGGGACAGCACGAGGAAGCAAGGTGCCAAGGCCTGGAGGGTGAGGTGATACCTGTGTGTCTGCCTTGCAGTAGAGAGGGAGAAAAGATGGATTCCACCCAGTCTTCCCCCACCATCAGGTCGGTTCTCAAAACTAAATTGGAAGTTGCACCAACATGTGTCTCGGGTACTGTGAGGGCTGAAGTTATGTTTAAGTTTAAATTACTGAGTCTAAGAGATTTATATTTTAAAAAGTGCTTCTAACCTGTAAGCCCCGCTTACAGGTATAACTTCCTGGAATGTGGGGGCTCTTGTTCATGTAGGACAACAAGTCACGTGTTCTCACTTCTGTAAACAAGGTTGGCGGCCCCAACTGCACAGGATGTGCTCCATCACAGGTAAGTGGGAGGCACAGAGGCAGGAAGTACAGCTGGATATATGCTTGCCTCTGCTTGGACGAAGGCCAGAAGTGCAGAGTCTTGCAGGGTTTGCCTTTATAAAGCCCCTGGCTAAGGTAATTTGGCCCAACACTCTGGAAATCCTGGGTAGGGACCTGGCCAGAGTCCAGAATCCCAGCCAGTATTTAATAAAGCTTGCTTCAAATATCTCAGAAATTGTGGTCATAGTCCTATTTTTGCCTGTGTGATTAACAGTACTACAGATGCAGTGGGAGTCAAGATCATGGTTGGGAAACCCACAGAGACAGCTGACCCCCGCTCGCGGGAGCTCACAGACTCTAGACCAAACAGCTAGGGAGCCTGCATGGGATCAACCTAGCAGTGGGGTCAGAATCAGTCCCTCGTACACGAGCTGGCTTTTTGGAACCCACCCCCTATGGTGGGATGCCTGGCTCAGCCTTGATGCAGGGGAAAGGAGCTCGCTCCTGCCTGAAATTGATATGCCAGGCTCTATTGACTCCCTAAGGGAGGCCTTACCCTATTTGGGGCAGGGGGTAAAAAAGAGGTGTGGTGGAGAGAAAGGGAGGAGAAGAGAAAGGGGAAACTGGTTGGTATGTAAAATAAGTTTTAAAAAAAAATCCAGTGCTACAAACAAAAGGGTAGCAGTTACGAAGAGTCAGTGAACTAAGTGATCACTTCACAGTTTCAAAGAAAGGGTTTTTGCTATTGTTGATATCTGTGCTGAGTGGCCCAGTACTCCATGCCTGTGTCTCACGCTGCCTACTGGGTCCTGCACCAAGCCTATCAGACAGAGGCACTCTTATCTCTGCTCTTGTTTAAGATAAGGACCAAGAGGCAAAGGAAGGTAGCTGTTTTCCCCACAGGGTCCCTCAGCCAGGAAAAAAAGAGTCAGATGTGAACCCAGGTCTCCAGAGGGCTTTTGTTTTCCCTGGCCATGGGAGGCAGCCTCTCACCTTCCAACTCTTCCTTCTCATAGTGAATGTTGAGGGTTGTGCTGGTCCCGCCCTGATCCACCACAGCTTCCTCATCTGGTCTCTGTTTAAAAACAGATATGCAAATGGTCACAGGAATACATGCATATTCATTCTCCAATGCAAACGACCATGGAAATACACGCATATTCATCATTCAAATACTCCAAACCACAGTACATACCAAGGCTCCTCTGAGATACCTGGAGGGGAAAACAGTGGTTTATATATATTTTTAAGTTGGAACTTCACATCCCCTTGAGATGCAAATATGGCAGTCATTCTCTTTCCCAGGCTGTAACATTAAATAACCATACCCCGAGATCACAGATGTGGTAGAAGGAGTTAAGACTGAGCAGCTCCATCCTCTCCAATGGCCCAGTTACACATCTGCAAAGGCAACTCCAGCAGGCACTTGCCTTGAATGGTGACTGCCCCTCACTTCCAAACTAACCTAACAGCCCCCAATTTTTATGTCCTAAAGGCATACTGCAATTCTGCTTAGCAAGGAAACAGAGATGTGGGGGCTAGAGAGATGGACCAGTGGTTAAGAGTGTGTATACTCTTGCCGTTTCCAGCCTCTAACTCCAGCTCCAGGAGATCCGATGCCCTCTTCTGGGCTCCGTGGGGCAACTGCACTCGTGCACACACACTCACACACGTGTACATAATTCAAAACAAAACAAGCCAGGCATGATGCACTCGGGAGGCAGAGAACAACCTTGTCTATAGAGCAAGTTCCAGGCCAGCCAGTGTTGCATGGCGAAACTGTCTCAGAGAAGAAAGGAAAGGAAAAGAGAGATATTTTTAAAAGACTCTAGCCCCATACACAGCACAGAAACATTCACATAGTAACTGCTCAGTAAGACTTTTTTTAAGATTTAATTTAACTTTATTTTATGTGCATTGGTGTTTTGCCTGCATGTATGTCTGCGTGCAGGTGTCAGATCTTGGAGTTACAGACTATTGGGAGCTGCCATGTGGGTGCTAGGAATTGCACCCAGGTCCTCTGGAAGAGCAGCCAGGGCTCTTAACCACGGAACCATCTCTCCAGCTTCCAGAAAGTCTTTCTTAAAAGAATGCTGTGACCCAGTCCCCTCCTCCTTCACAGGCATCGGGCCACTAAGACAAACACACTAAGTGCTACTCTGGACTTACTTTCCCTTTCCCGGCGTGAGGCTCCAACTGGGCTACTTCACCACAGGGACACAGGCACACTCTCACTTCCACGTGGCCTGTGCACATTGCCAGGCTTGGTGCTTCCCCCAGCCCCTTAGCTCGCCAGGATCGCCCTCCAGGTATAGCTCAGATCTCCAACTCACTCTGAAGCCCCCACATCATCAAGCCCATCTACGCCCACCCCCCCACAACACAATGCTGAAGACAGGCAATCCAGTTCTCCAGTGAGACGATATTTTAATGAGATTAACATAGATATTCTTAGAGAAATAGAATGTCAAATGTCAATTCGTGATTAATTTGATAATTTACTTTTGTAGATATTTAAAATTACATATTACTACTATGAAAAATATTTAAGAGATAATAATAAGTTTTAAAAGCAAAGTGGAGAAAACTGTGATTTGCTCCATCTTAACAAAGAAAAGGGAGCTGGAACATAAACGCCTGGCTAGATTTTAGAGCACAGGGCTGGAGAGAGCTCCACCAGCCGCCACATGACCTGCACACACAGGGCAGGTGTTCACAGACACAGACACACATGAATAAAAGTACATCTCTTCCAAAGGGAATTCTCAAATTAAAAACCAAACAAGCAGACGTGAAATTGGTGGTGTAGCTATTTCAGAAGATTGATTCTAAGTCAGAGCGCACAGAGCTGGAACACGGCCGGCTGGGGCTGGCATTCCAACTCCAGATCAGTTCCTGGCAAAACAGGAGACAAAGAGAAACCAGGACAAAGTAGCCAATTGCCCAAGCAGTACACATTCCCAAGAGACAGACAACAGCAGCGAAGATCATAAACTGCTTTTTCTCTTTATTGGCTTTTGAGAACAAGTCTTTCTCTGTAGCCCTGGCTGCCCTCCCACGGGCTGTCTTGCTTCAGCCACCCTGAGAGCGGGATTAGTGTAAGCCACTGCGTGGAGCCCCCTGAGCGGCCTGCAGTCACCATGCCCTTGGTCGCAGCACTCACACTGGGCATCGGCATCTGAGGGCACAGTGTGCTGTGCGGTGACTGACTGTGTGAACTGTGTCATCCCCAGTGTGGCTGAGAGGAAGGACTCTCAAAGGGTTCGAAATGAGACATGAGAGCAGAGACAGAAGGTAAATAAAAAGGCTACGTCTTTCTCACGTGGAACGCATCAGTGAAAACATACGACACATCCTTTGTCCATAAATAGCTTTAAATTAGTAGATATTTTTAACCTCTGTCCTTTCAAAGGCCTATAACACATGATCAACCGTAGCTCGAAGTATCATTGGCACCAAGATTATGACCTCTGAAAATATCATTCTCTACTTAAAGAAATCAGAGTTTCTTGAAAAAAACAAAACAAAACAGCTGATAGAAGGGCATAGTGGCGTCCGCTTTCAAACCCAGCACTTCAGAAGCAGGAGCAAGAATATCTGTGACTGTTACAGGCCAGCCTGGCCCACACAGTAAGACCCTCTCAAAACAAAACAAAAATTGGCTGGCTACAGGTCTGGAACGTGTTTGAACCCTCCCGTTTTATCAGACAGTAAGAAAGCAAGAAGAGCAGCAGACACACGGCCACGGGCACCAGCAGCTGCTTTGGAGGGTCCTTGCCAACTACAAGTAACCTGCGCTTCAGTGTGGACAGGATTTCAGTAGGCTACACAGAACAAATATGCTAAGATCAGTGAGTCTGTGCACTGTAACATCTAACAAGAAGCATTGTCTAGCCTGTGCAGGGCCCTGGGTTCAACACACACACACGCACACGCACAGGCTCACGCACACACATGCACACACTTTCACACACACATACATGCACACGCACACATGCACACACTTTCACACGCACACGCATGAACACACACACACACACACACACACACGCTTGCGCGCGTGCGCACACACACACACTTGAACTGATCAGCCTTCGTTGAAGGACAGTGCTATCAAGGTAACCCTTCACTTGGGAAGGTGACAGTTTGTCTAGGCTCTCTTCCACGTGAACCAGAGCAGATGAGAGAGGCTTTTCATTACAGAATAAATGAAAAATATCTTTTAAAAATTCCCAAACACCACTTGAAAACCGCTTGCGGACTGCACAGGCCTTCAGTGGCTGCCAGCGAGCAACGAGAGACAATGAGTGACTGGGGACTGCGGTATAAATCGTCCCTGAGTCTGATAAAGCATCTAAACCTAAATACGAATTCACCGAGAATCCAGGGTTTTCACAGGGTTTCACAGAAAACACCACCATGGAATACAGTCAGCAGCAACACTGCACTCCGTCCACTCAGCCGGGTGCCGTCAGCACAGCGCCATTAGCACTGGGATCGCGGGCTCTTACACCATTTTCTGTTTCAGAAAATTCAAGCAGGTTAAACAATAAGCCTATTAGATTTTTATTCAAACCATTAGCTGTTTCTTTTTTTAAAAAAAAAAAAATTGTGCAGGGCCAACAAGATGGCTCAGCAGGTAAAGGCCCTCACCACCAAGCCTGACAACCTGAGCTCAATCCTTGAGACAGGACCCGCACGATGGAAAGAAAACTGACTCCCCACGTCGTCGTCTGACCTCTCCATGGGCGCCATGGCATGTGCATGTGTGCACAAGATACAAAACAAGTAGATAAGAAACGTGATTTTAAAATGTATCTAGGGGCAGGCGGTGGTGGCGCACACCTTTGATCCTAGCACTTGGGAAGCTGAGGCAAGGATCAATGGGTTCCACACCAGCCTGGACTATGCAGTACACAGCCAGACCCTGTTCAAAAGCAAGGTCTGCACAGCTATTGGGATGGTCAAGAATCTAGGACACTAGTAACAACAGACCTCCCTCTTTGCTGTTGGGGAAAAACGCAATTCTGCAGCCACACTAGAAGACAGTTTCTTCCAAAAACAAATTCTTACTTTATAAATCAGTGTTGATAGTTACCACCCAAAACTTTATTATAATTATTATTACTATTATTATTATCATTATTTTGGCGGTAGTGGAGCACACCTTTAATCCCAGCACTCCGGAGACAGAGGCAGGCAGATCTCTGTGAGTTCAAGACCAGACTGGTCTATAGAGCAAGTTCCAGGACAGCCAGGACTATTACACAGGGAAACCCAGTTATAAAAAGTTTTAAATCAACACAAAAACCTGAACATAGAAGCATGCAGAAGTTTTATTCATAATTGCTAAAATTTAGAAGCAACCAAGATGTCCTTCTTGGTGAACAGATAAACTGTGGTCCATCTAGACAATGGAGTAGTGTGGGCTTGAAAAAGAAATGAACTATTAAGTCATAAGAAGATGAATGCCTTAAATGCATTTTATTAAGTGAAAGAAGCCAATTCAAGAGGCCATGAGACCTGGAGACACAGGACAGTGTGGGAGAGCTGGCCTGGCATGCATGAGGCCCTGCAGACACAGGACGGTGGGGGAGAGCTGACCTGGCATACATGAGGCCCTGCAGACACAGGACGGTGGCGGAGAGCTGGCCTGGCATGCATGAGGCCCTGCAGACACAGGACGGTGGAGGAGAGCTGACCTGGCATGCATGAGGCCCTGCAGACACAGGACGGTGGGGGAGAGTGAGCCTGGCATGCATGAGGCCCTGTGCTCCATCTATAGCACTGCATAGAGAAGAGAAAAGAAAACTGAAAAGAATTATTAACTCTCCATAAACTTTTAACCCAGTGTGGTAGCACACTCCTGTAACCTCAGAACTCAGGAAGCCGAGGCAGGACAATCACTAGTTCTAGGGAAGTCGGTTTGGGGTGTTTTGTTGTTGCTTTTAATAAAGAGAAAGAAAGAAAGAAAGAAAGAAAGAAAGAAAGAGGAAAGGAAAGGAAGAAAATTCCATGTACTGAATAATTCCAGCCCTGTGATATTCAGGAAAAGACAAAGCTATGGAAACAATA